TCCCAGCACAAGCAGCTCCCAGCCCTGGGCTTCAAATGCCTCTTTCAGCTGAGACCTACAGCCAGGAAAGATCTGCTCTTAGAGCAGGAGAAGAGGCTTCCCACTCACCTGATTCCTGAGGAGAAGGAGGCAAGAGAAGTGGATGAGAGAGCAGAGACTTGGGCTACCTTTTATAGCAGTCCTACACTGCCTTGGGCCCAGAGGCTTGTTGGTGCAAGTAATAATTTTCTGACCACCTCATGTCAAGTGTGAACCATCCCAGCTAATGGTAGGGCCTGTGTCCTGTTTGCCTGAACTGCTGCCTTTTCATTTCCTTGCTTCTGCCACGTGCTTTCCTACAGGAATGGTCATTTCCCCACGTGCCAGGAGGAGAGCATCAAGCATTTCAGAGCAGGACAGCAGTGGACAAAGAAGGCTTTGATTGAGGGTTGTTGGCACACCAGCTCATTTGTACCAGTGTCATTCCTGTGGACCTCTTTGTGGCCAGAAATCGACCCTGCTCTCGTGCTTCTCTCCCACATGCCCAAGGTCTGCACGTGACATGGCACATTCTTTTCCTCTGTTACCTTCATAACTCCCTGATTAACACTCAGGGTTGTGCTCAAGTGGGCTTCTGCTGGGAGGGTTTGACCCTCATGCTGTGCTAAGAATAYTCTCTGAAAAACTGTGTGATCTCATTGACTTCCTCCCACCCCTGGGCACTCCTTGTGGGTCTTCTGTCCCTCCATGGTCCACTTGCGTCCTGTCCTGCCGGTGTGAAGGTTCCAATGCAGAGTGCACATGTGTCAGCCTGGGCTTGTAGGACCTTCATCCTGGGAGCATGTGCAGGGCATGGTCTCCCCTGGTGTGTCCTTGAGCCCCAAAGTGTTGCCAGCTTCTGTTGCCAGAAGGAGCCAATCTACAGCAGAACACCCCTCAACCTTGCAAAGCAGTGTCCAAAGCACTGAAATGCAACATCTTCCTCTTGCACCCTCCATTTCTTGCTTTATGTAAATGGAGAAAGGTGAAGAATGTCTGCCAATTATTGCAGAAATGTCTGAAAGCACAGACTGTGCATGAGAACTCATTAACATAGAAAGTGAGAAACCTGTGTTTGGGACAGAGAAACCTACCCACTAAAAGGTACCCCCACAAGTCATTCCTCATTGATCCCCTCTGGCGTGATGTTGCTGGTGTCAGGGAGGGGACACAGGCTCCTCCTGTGCAGGCCAGTGCCAGATGCACTTGTAAAACTCAAGTGCAGCCTGATGCTGAGTGGGGCAGAGCTGAGATATCCCAGAAAAAGGGAATTGGCCTCATGTTCATCTGGTGCTCCCTTGAGATATGTAGGACAGCTGCACCAACCCAACATAAAGGCTGCATAGCTGAGT